TGTTCAGCAGCGTACGAGCGTTGCTTCTTAATGAAATTAACAGTGAAATTGTTTGAGATTCATTAAATCAACGGAGACTCACTAAAGCACTTATAAGAACAAGAATTATTATTTAATCGAGAAAACAAATTCGATGAAATAATAATTATCGATTAAAATTATTCTAATACTATCAGTTTCAATTTCGAAAAGACACTCTTAAAAAACACAAGTCTGCTATTTCAAAAACAGAAGATAAATACAAATTTTTTAATTTAAGAATTCGTAAATATTCTCACTACTAAAATTGAATTTAATTACACCGTCGAAGTCACAGTTCAGTTCATATGCTTGATGATCAGATATTTTAAATCAATGTCAAAACTTCGTACAACTACATTTGTAGATGAACAAGAATTTACATAGAAAATCTATATAAAACAAGAATAATTTAAACAAAATATTTACACAGAAAAGAAAAATCTAATCAGAAAATTTACATAGGAAACAAAAAATGAAACAAAAGATACCAATGATAAAAGACAAGAATTGTCAGAAAAGCAAATAGTAATAAACAGACACTAATCTTATCCATATCTCATTATGAAATAAAAGAAAGTTGTTCTGCAATATTATTTACGTGAACATATAATATATAAATTATACGTTCCTACTCGCATAATTAAAAATTCCAACTAAAAAAACTAACCATCTTAAATACAGCAAATCAATACAAAAACAAAATCGTTTCTTCCTTGGTTTACAAGGAAATCAGGTCGAAATAGGGCGAATTTCGAGGATCCGTGATGTAGGTCGAGGAAAAAATGATCACGTGTCGTTAAAGCCCGTGCGCTGGTCGTCCTCGCGTGCTGCGCTCGCGTTAACGGGACACGAGGCTCGGTGTGGCGGAATGGCGCATCCCGAGGAATGCGTTTGCACGAATTCCCGGATCGCTCGACTTCCGTCTACCAGGCGGCCGCGCCGCTGAATTACACCGGCTCCCAACGGACACGAGATTAAGTCCGCGATGCATTCCGCGGTCCCGTCTATACCCGGTGTCGCTGTAATTTCCGCGGGCATGGGACGACGATCGCGCGATAAACATCCCGGCCGCAATACGTTCACTCTTCCTGGCTGCGTAGAATGTACACTCCGTGACAAAACGGTGGCACGAAAACAGTGTGCGATATTATTAGCACGTTGAATGCCATGGAGGTCACCGGTGACCCCGAACCAAATTGAATTACTATAGTTCACTCAATTAAACGATGATTATTTAGAAAGATTTCTATATCACAAAAAATGCAACCTAATGTAATGACATTCAGCTCGATGAACATGGAATAATAATAATGCAATTCAATCAAATGATTTAATATTAAATTCTTTCCGTTGTGTGTACTTTGCTCTATAAAATTGTGCGGCATTCAACGTGTAAACCAGTCAGCTGTTTTTGAAGAGTATACTCGTCCAAATACAGTTAACTGATTAAGGGAATGTTCATTTTCGAAACAACCAATTTTATAGGTATACAACACTTGAAGGAACATTTTTGAAAAAGTTATTTATACATATGAACACGTTGAACGCTGCACGTTTTCACGAAGCAAAATACACAAAATGAAGAAAATTGGAGTATTAAATTATTTAATCCCTTCAAGGACGAATTCTTTTATTTCTACTTATATGAATAACTGATCCAAGTTATGGTCTAATATGATTTCAAGAGTACTGCAAATAGAAATACTCCTGATCATGGGTACCAAGAAATTAAATTTTTATTTTTAATGTAATTTAATTTACTACTATTATGTAATTTAACTTACTACTACGTTAGTAAGAAAATACTTATAAAAACTATTAGTGAATTAATAATAATAGAATACATTAATTTCAAATATAATCTCAACTTGTCAGATACACTTGTGAAGATTTATAACGAATACCTTACAACTCGAAGAGTTTAATTTTAAGTAGATATTCCAATAATGAAGACGACATTCATGTGGATTATGCGATGGCTTCTGCGCCATCTTCCTGGTTAGGCAATAAAATAATAAATAAATACGTCAAGCTGTCTGATGTGTTCATGGTCGTGTTCATTAAATTCGATTTGACGTTAATTTCTACAACACTTGTTTACTATTATTACCGTAGGCCATGACCACAGAGAAATTTTCGATAAGACTGAGCGTTATTGGTAATAAACAGCTTATTGAGGAACATTACCTACTTGCATTCCCTCACGATTATCAAGAGTTGTAAAATTTATAGAAGACATCTAATATTACATCTTGTCTACATGTATGATTAAGAACGATAGATACTTATTACACCAAGACAAATTTTCTTTTCGCGGCTCGAATAAAGACGAAGTCATCGGACATGGGTTATAAATTGGACAAGCGTTGATAGAGTTAACTAAGTATTAAATTATCTAAACGTGATACGTGTACTTATTTCGGTACTTAGATTATTACATTTTCTTTGCATATTTAGTTTCAGCTGCAATTCTTATCAATACTTCCGTATATTTATAATCTAACATGTGAAATATACAGTCTTATCCACTTAAAATTTTTACTATTGAGAATTTCTCAAGGTGTCGATACAATAATCGTCAAAAACATGAAGGATAAAGAGAAGACATTTGTTTCGTAGAAAATGTTCATAGAAAAAACTTAACTCGTAAAATAATTCCAAAGTTTGGGGTTTTATAAATCTTACATCTTAATTTCAATAATCATGCAGACACGAAAAGAAAATTCACGAACATTCTAGGGGTACAAAAACTGGCTCCGAAAATCAAAAGTCAAAGTTCTCCACATTTCATCAAAATTCCAATTTTCAGAACCCAGAAAAACCTTCTGTCACGAAGAATATGAAAAAAAATCACGAACAATATTGAAAGGATATAAAAACTGGCTCTCAAAATCGAAAGTAAAAGTTCTCTGTGTTTCGTTAAAATCCCCGGTTTTAAAGGACCGCCGGCATTCTTTCGTGGTGATGCAAAAATAAAGACGTAACAGTCGGCCGTACGATTATCACACAATGCGGCTCGGTCGTTCGTTAATTAAATCGCCACGGATATTGAATGCATCGCGGTGTTTCTCACAGATCGAACCCAGCCGAAGAAAGTCGTGGTCGTATGCCGACGCGCGTCGAGGAACGGCGAGTCCCGCGGTAACGACCACGCTTTATCTCCCACGTTCGTCAAAGGTTACCGAGTCGGTTTCAGGGTTTACGCGATTTCGAGGTCGTTCAGAGGAAAAGTTCGACGCCGGAGTCCCGATTCACGTTTCCGGTAATAACATCGTCTCACGCGCGTGCACGCGACGCCTTGAAGTCCGACTGTGTCGCAAGCTTGTTGAATCTCATAGTATTCAATTATTCTGATTATATTTCATGTGCACGACAAGCTATGTTTATTGCGACTGGTAACAGAATAAGGAACCGCGATGCTGCTGTATTACTGTATTACTAAATCGTATATCAACTTGCAAATTATTCTCTTCGTGTCGGTTCGTTGCATTCAAAATGGCGGTCGCTTTGTAGGAAGATGCTCTAGCGTGTTTGCTTCGAACTTATTGTTTGAAATTATGTTATTGATTTATATATATTTTTAAATACTTTATATACTTACGTAAATTTTTATAATAATAATCAGTGTTGAAAAATAGCACGTTTGGATTAGTAATAAAATTTTTGTAGAGACTTCAGAGACAAGTTTGGAGGTAATTATAAATTATTAGATCATTAGATTTATTGTAATTATAGATTAGAAGTAATTATAGATTATTAGATAGGTTAGATATTGTATTTTTAATTATGTATTGATAAACTGATCCAAATCAACTAATTTTTCATACGTTAGCATTATTGTTTACTTAATTTTCTTTGAAACAAAAATATATCAACGAATGAAAAAGCTCGCAACGTTGACAAATTACATAGTACGCGTTGAAGATTCAGCTAATGATTTGTAACTATTCCATATGTTAGTACAGGTAAGTACACTCGAACAATATTAAATTTTACCGCGAGGATTCTGCGATCCAGAGCAGAGATGAAGCAGGAATGCGAAACCGGAATGCTCGTCGGTAGTTTTATTTCGCGGAGTTCTTCCTCGTTCGTTCTATCACTTGATTTTTGTTATCGCGAAGCTGAACGAGTCTCGAGGAATGCATGGAATGTGCATAATAATAATATGAATTGCGAAAAAAAAACATAGAAGGTTGAGCCACGGATAAATTCTCCTTCGCATTTTTCAGTTTATTTCAATCCGGAAAACGTTTCGGGTAATATTAACATTTTGTTTGCAATATTCTTTATTATTTAATCTTTTTATATCAATTATATTATAGACTTAATTCACGATGTAACGTAAAAGTACGTAGACATTTATAATCGACAAATAAGAACCGTAAATATTTAATAGTAAATCTACTAGGTCATTTACTAATATTGTTGCATGTTTCATTAAAGTATGTAATATTCAAAAGTTTGATAAGCGTTCATTGAAATTATTTTTTCATGACGTACATTGCTTTTGCCTCTTTTTAAAATTTCTTATTATCTGTATCATAATTATATTATTTTTATTAGATAGGTAATAATATTACCTGTATTAATATAGAATTGCATTAATACAACATAATAATATTGTTATATCAACATAAAATATCAATAACATTATATTAACCCCTTGTCCTATCATTTCTTTTACAATTGTCTTAACAGAACCATTATACTTTATCGTTAATAATTGAGTAAACAAGAAAAAGAATTTCATGCTTATTCTGTTCACATTTACTCTAAAGGTCAAAGATTAATGATAAATCAGTAATATTTCATTTATATGAAAAAGAAAGAAATAACATTTAAATTTACCGAATTTCAGTGAAAATTTTCACGAGTTGACATTATAGGAGAAGTTAACAGGCAGTGTCGGTGCACACAATGTTTATTCATAACTACTATGAAAATTTTAGTTACACTTTTACAATCAGTAATTATCTTACCCATTTTGCCGGGTATCACGTCGAACTGTGCCGGTGTATCGCTCACGAAAATCGGTCGATTGCATAATTCCTGAAAAAGAATAAAAGATTTCTTCAATATTATCTCTAGCAGAGCACTTTGAGGCAGGAATTAGAGTACATTACGCGTGGATAAACATAAATTACTACCAAAAATCTCCAGGGACGGCCGGAAAACGTAACGATCTTGACCGTGAAGCCGTAAATCAGCGGACGTTCAAGTCTCCGAAAGGCTCTAATTACAGCCAATTAATGTTTCCCCGTCACGTACAAGACGGCAACCCGAACGTGTGCACGGTATTCCGTGCAAATGATCAATCCCGAACCGGAAACAAAACAGAAACCGTTTCTGACTGGCGAAAACGACAAGAAAAAGACAGGGCGTCGCAAAAACCGAGCCGCCAAGATGGCGGGTCGCGGGCTGCACATCACGGATCGCATTCCGCAGTCCGTATCCCGGAATAATTATGCGTTGTAGAACGAACGGAGAAGTGTTATATAATCATCCTTTGTTCCGAGATTGTAGATTCAGCGAACAAGCTCTGACAAATTATTTTAAACGACCACGAAATTTGCATACAATTATGAGACCGTGTTTGGTAGGTACTTTCGAATCTTCTTAAGGAACGATTATAAAACATATAAAACATTTATTTTCGTTCATAATTCTAATTAACCGCGGATGAAATTCATTAATTCAATCAATAAAATGAAACAGAATAGAAACGAGATTCGCACAGTTATAAATTCGATCTTTGATCTTTGTCAATCGTGTATTGACGGTAAACATTTTGAAATGAAACATTAATTAACCCTGAAAATGACGATGTCAAGTAGTAAATGCATTGATCTATTCAAACCAATGCTCGCAGTAACAGCAAGTCGGTTACTATTACTATATCACTTGCGTTCCGTATTTTTGTTATAACTGTTTAATAAATCTCTATGTGAACTATGTTTCCACAACGTGTTTTTCTTATTTAATGCCGTAGAATATACTGACAAAGTTTTAACATTAAAACCAAGGACACCCTGTATATAGCAGTTTCCCGAAGAATATTTAACAGCAACAACGTTCTATTGTATATCTCGTCACCTTTACTTAAATAAAACTCTCGACAATTTAAAAAACAGTTTTATTTGATTTCGCGACCTGGAATTTAACATAGTATTGCAATCGCTGGAGTTCTGTTCTATTCCTTTCCTATTCAGTGTGATTTCAAAGCGAAAAACATAAAAGGGACCATTTCGATGTCGCGTCACGCGTAATAATTTTAATCAGCGACGCACGTAACAATCGTTCGTAGTTTTGCGACACAGAACGCGGCATTGTTATTCGCACGATTACGCGACGGGAACGTGTTAATCCAGCGAAACCTCTATCGCATCGGTTCGTAATATTATATCGTTGACGGTGGTGAAATAGTATCCTTCTGATTCACGGTTCGGTCACCAGCTCGTTCAACACAGGATATTCGGTTCATCGTTCCTCTTCGCTACTCGTGTCACGCTCTCCACCGATCCTTTCCGGTCGCGTTAAAACCGTGACACGCGGACATCGCGTAATGCTTAACGCGTTAACGCAATAGCCGACCTTGTTGTTGTTGAAACGCGGCGTTCGATACATTCGAGAAAGGATGACCATTAATTGACAAGGACATAAATACTTATCTGGATACTAACCGCTTGTACTACGATTTATTTCTCAACTATAATCGATGCAACTACTTTGACGGTAATAATTTATTGAAAAAAGAGAAAAATTCTAAGTATATTCTATGTCTATGTTTCCTGTAAAGTATAATTATCGGTAACAGAAGAATAATGTTTAATTTAAATTCAAAAGAATTGAGAAATATTCATGCTGGTTAAATTCTCTTTAAATTCTTCGTCAAGGGGTAAACCCTTGCCCTATGATTCTTTTCTCAATTGCGCTCAACATTTTCTTGAAAGAAATTGGTCAATGGTTTTCAGAAGCAACGTTAGGAAAGATGGAAGACTGTTTCCGCCCTGAGCAGGTTATTTTAATTAATTGTTACAGAGTATGATTTCTGTGTAAAAGGGATCCGTTAGTTTTGTTAGATGAATCCCAGTTCAACGAGGCTTCTCGTTACGCGGTTATAATCACGAGGATGACAAAGAAGCAGTCTATGTGTCAAGGTTGCGCACTGTTTCCGTTACGGTTCCTGGGCTTCATATTCCTCGCCCTTCCTTTCCGTAGGAACTAGAGCAAGCCGTTGCGAACATATCGCGTGAACGTTGTTACCTACATAGTCAACGCGACTTACTCGAGTGTTCTCGAATAAAAACAATGATCATTTCTACAAGGGACGGCATTCAAAATTTATCTTATAATTTTTATCGAATTTCCGTAAACTACATCAGAATTTACAAAGTACATAATTTCATTTATCGAGTTTTTTTGATTCTCGTTGCTGGAGTATTTGATTAGAGCATATCTTTCATTTTAATCATTTAGAATTTAATTATATCTGTATTAATGGTGCTGTAATAACTATCATTAACAATAGTTAATAACTTTTGTCAAGATAATGTCTTTCGATTAAAATGTTATCCCTGTTAACCCTGTTATCGTTTTCAACGAATTGAAAGTTATCAGTATTATTAAATAGTGCGATCTCAAAGTTGGCACTATCGAATTTCGCTAATCCGATTTCACGAACACTGCGTTCCACGAATCTAATTACTCACGACCCTTATTTGTAGGATGGTTATCGAATTTCTCGAGCTAGCAGTTGGTATCTACGATTTTGCGATTGGTTGTAGTGATATTATAAACGATACCATTACAAGCTTAACGGACATTTTGTCATTTGTAATTTTAATTTTTATCGATTATTTTGTAAGAAAATAATTAAACTTTACTTGGTAATCAAATCTGTGGTTCTAATGCTTTTAGTTTTCATTTAAGTGCGTTTCAATGAAGATATGGTCATCATCCGCGGAATTACCCTAATTAATGTTATTGTGTAATTAATAAGAATACCTTTGGTCGTTTCCATTGAAACTGAAATGGCGGGGTTTGATGATAGAAGACCGACGTCTGAGTGGCTGGAAATTCGGGATCCTCCCACAGTTCACCTCGTTTCAAGCACGAACGCTTGATACGTTCGTACTCGCTCATTACGTCCTGAAACAATTCGTGTTATCTAAGAGAGAGTGTCTTCCATACGGGCACGTAACAGTTAACGCAACCATTAAGCAACCGTTCCCCTCATTGATCACCGATTAACATTCTTCTAACGTTTCTGTCACAACTGTAACTATGTAAGTAGATCGGTATATTATCTGTTTAATATTCATAGTGAACTAGAAATGGAAGAAGAAAAATTAACAGTAACAATATATATCCACGTGTCTCGCATTTTCAATATTTTTGTCCTTCACATAATCGTATTACAAATTTTATCGCGTAACGTTTGTTTATGAGTATTTATTCTAATTCCATTATATGGGAGTTCAGAATATGTACTATTTTATACTATACTATTAATATAGAACAGTGTAAATATAAACTATATGTAGTTTTAAATGTGAACTCCGTGATACCTATATACATATGTTTTACTTTATTGTAGTATATGTAATGTACTGTAAATAGTACTAAGACTGCAACATATATATAAAATACTATAATATAGTATAATACAAAATATAAACTGTATATGTTAAAAATATAGACTCTATTAAATTGATGTATATAGTATAGAATATATAAGGATGCAGTGGTATAAAAACATTTTTAGATGAAAATTTAATTATATGATAATATTATAATATCACAGCAATACAAAAATATAAGATAGTAGTTACAGTAATCATAAACTGATACGTTCGTGTTCATCATACAATTTGCCAATAGCAAGGAACGCGTATAAACGCCTCCCATTGATAATAATCAAGTATTAAATTTAATGATCTAAGAGCTAATAGTACTGCGTTAATGGTGCAAAAGGATTAAGTAGAAAATATTCAGAACAATATTTCTGAATATTAAACATCTTTGAAACACGATTCGGGAAAGTGAGTGGCGGATTTGAGAGTGCAGTGAACGAGTCTGGAAAGAAATAGAGTGTAAACAAGATAGAAGTACTTACAGTGAATGGGAAAAGTGTAAACTGAATAAAGAAAATAGTAGAAAGTAATGCATCGAATGTATCTAGTTGGTAATAATTAATATTTAATATTAATTAATTAGAAACTGTGATAGAGAAAAATATTGTGCATTTGGTATTTGTATTATTAAATATTATATAATAATATTATATAAAACAATATTATTTATTATATTTTTTATGTCGTGTACATAAAATATAGATTCTTTCTTTATTTTTCACACTTACACTTTACTTACACTTCCTTCAAGATCATTTCTTTCTACTTTTTCGTGTTAACACAGTGAATACTGGTAACGAGAAATCTCGTTTTTATGTAAAAACACTTAACTATATAACATTGCTAATTATCACAACATTTTAAAAAATCTTAAATTTGGTTAGAACTAATTGTCGATTTAAAATATATCACATAACAATATGATATTTGAGTCTGTTTTGTACATAGTGATATAAATTGATCTCACTGAAAATCGCTATCCGCACAATTCAGTTTTTTTGATAATTAGCCGATGCGCAATGTGTTAAGTCCCGATTAGTTACACCTGTCACGATAGCTATGAAAAATATAATATCACGAACACCATATAGGAATTGTTAATCCCGACCTCGATAAGCGTCGTGATAACGCACTTCGAGACTTCATCGAAGCCTCATTTCATCGAGGTCATCACTTTCTCTTCTGCGGGAGTCTTTGTTACACGACGAGTACTTCTTCTCATTTCAACTTCGAGAGAAAACATATCCAAACCAGCGAACGATGAAAACTTTTTTTAACCCATTCAGCTCCTGTTACGAATTAGATTCACGGTGTATAACATGGTCGTACAGATCAGCCGAGAATTAGATTCATGGTATATGATATATTCCAGTTCGAAGTAAGAATTTAAGAAGCTACTTTGAAATTAAGTTACTAAATAACCGACTAATTTTATCAAAGCTAGAATTGTAAATTATGATTTAGTATCCTATGGGTTATGCTGTATGCAAAATTAAAACGCACTAACAATTTCTATAAACGGCAACAAGTATAACTAACCAAAACTTAACATTAAAAAGTAGAAAGAAATATTATCTATATTTTGTCTTTATGATATAAAAAATATAATAAACAACAATGCATATATTTTTCATATACTACTTATAAGCATAACGATTTGTCCATATCCATCGACGATTCTTTTTAAATGATACTTAGAGTTCCCTCAACGAGTTCCAATCGAAATTAAGTGCGACATCCTGCGACCTTACAAATTATAGCTACTTTTTATAGTGTGACACATGCAGTCGCAATGCACAGTTTAACGTACGCCAGTAAATTTCGCTTATCATGCAAAATTTAGGAATAATTTTCTGTATAAATAATGTTTGGAGGTTCTTTAACACGTTCGCAGATGTGAATGCTATAGCATTCATTTTCATCGTGATGCAAAATGACACAAATGCAATAACATTCAAGTTTTTAAGTTATATTATCATGCATTTCATTCTATAAAACCTCTTTTATTTATAATAAAAATGTGGATATTACAATTAATTTAAAAATAAATTGCCCGTCTATTTATGCAGCCCATTAAAATTTTTACTGTCTACCAACGTATTTAGATACCAATCGAAATGAGGCGCAACATCCTGCGACTACCTTATACGTCTTCCTGGTGTATCTATGACTTTCATTAACAATAACTCCTTAATTATTTCGAAATAAGATTATATCTATACGATATTATTTGCTTGAAACTGTATTCTAAATCAACTCGCAAAGTTTTTATTTTTTAAGGTGAAACACCTTAAGGGTAATTTTATAAGGGTAGTTTTCTATTCTAATAAAAAAATAAACACATATTTTCGTAAGGAACAACGCATAATTAACACTTCAACTGTCAAGTAAATGCTCATTGAAACTCCTATACAGTCGAAACAACCTTCTTAGTAAAATAGAAACTAAATAGTCAAGATTCCTCATAACGATTGCTCTACTATCTTCCTTACATCTCATACACCCAACAAAATTCGGTTCGTTTGATAAGTTACCAAGAAAATGAATGTTTAAATTTATATAAAGAATGATGTCACCCGAATTTGGGTGACGTGACAGTCAAAGTGTTAACGAAGACATACATTTCGACCACGTTTTCGGACAAATTAGTCACAGTGGCGCCGTTCAGGATCGCAGAAACTCATCGCAATCAAGACATCCGACATCTTCAAAAATAAATAACGAAACAGCGATGAAAGAACGGCGAATTATTCATTGGAACAGCTAAACAACGTTCCGTTTCTTTTATCGCCATTCCGACAGGGCAGTTTCGTTCGCCTACACGACGCCCATATCTGGACAGAAACAGGAACGATCTCTCGGAATGGTGCTCGCCCGGAGTCGCTTTCGAATTCTAACGAAATCGGGCCCGTTCTTATTGGAAGAGCCCGGTGCTGTTATTACTGAAAATCATCGTCACGGAAGAGAGATCGAGAGATCCGTATTGGCCATTTCGCGCGAGAGGATCCTCGACACGGTCGAACGAGCCGCCGACGTTATTATCGAAATTAGGTAAAATGTAACTTGATCGTGTATCAAGACTAATGAGTAGAATGCAACTTTTTATTCGATCGGAGGTTTCTAACTGTAACTGGATATTAACTGAATCTTACTGTAATCACTTCAATTTCGATTGTAGATTAATAACTATTGACCATTATGAGAGATGATTTACGGGTTATATTAAAAAGTTATTGTTAAATTATTGTTCCATACAATAACGTTACCATTTTTTTACTATTATTACATTTGTTCGGATGTTTCCTATTTAAATTTGAAAAAATAGAGAAGCGATCGTTACAATGTATTATTACTTTTTTAATATTATCTTGAGTATATAAACCAAGCACCATAACAGTCAGTTTAACTTAGAACTAATTATGGTAGACCGAGGCGAATCGCACCGAATTAATGCTTCAGTCTACATTTGTTAGATCCTAAATCACTAACACTGAATTATGTGGTTCCTAAGCGATGCCATTAGGTCCTAAAGGCTTCACATCAACATCATTTAACCTTTAAATATGCACGTGAATTTAATCTTTAACTCTGAAAATTGCTGAATAATGTTAAATATTCTCGTTTACAGCAACTAACATAAAAATTCATTGTATTTATTTGTTTTTATTTATTCAAACATCACAGTAATAATATCAATTGTATAATGAAAATTTCACTTGTATCAAAATTCACAATATTTTATATTAGTTTTGTTTTGTTTTTTCATTACAATATATCCTGGGTGCATTCACCCTGCGTTTGATAAACACTTCATTTTTCGATTTTATCAAAACGAGAGATTTTTCAAACTAAATCCTACAGTTCACAGGTTAAAAGTAAAGGCAGTTTACATCAACAATTGCATTCATAGTGCAAGTGTCTATACACGCAATAAATTTTTTTAAAAATATTTAGCAATACGCGAACAAATTATGGAACATTTATCGTGTCTAAGCGTGCATGACGTTCGAATACTTTTGTTGCTGACTGCATGTTTGCCTTTATGTGTGTGTGTACTCGTGAAAGCGTCACGATTGCGAAATACGTAATTACGATCGATCGGACCGGCGCGATTGCAGGTATTGTTCGCGAGAAGAGGCAACAGACGCGCCCACCGAACGATTCGGTGTGCTCCAATTAGGATCACGACTAACACGCCGGTGAATACACTCGATATCCAGTGGGCAATTAGCGTGCCGACGGGCATTCATTTTCGCGTTTAATCAGTTAACTGCGTTCGTCGAGTATACACGTCATCTTAAAATCAGAATGACACTAAGCTAAAAGCACTAATAATTGACACCTTTATTGAATAAAAAGACTCTACGCGTAAAAACGCTGTTTGAACTTCTTACATTATGTAACAAAGCGAACTGAAATAGTTGTATTATCTAAATTTGATAGACATTCTTGGAAATTCAATACTTGCGTCGGGAGTTGAGCGTCCTTTAAAACGAGGAAACTAGTAATTGACCA